TTAACAAAAATAGTTGACACCTCTATAAGTATAAGGGATGATTCTAAAAACTAAATATTAGCTAATAAATCAAGAATTATAAGTAACTAAAAAGAATCAAAAATTATTTTTCCAATATTCTATTTATTGTATGAGTAATCGAGTGGTTTATAGTAAACCGATTACTCTGTATAGCTCATTATCAATTATGGAAATGATTTTTTTAACATGTAGCTAAATTTAAACTTAGTTTTAAACCCTAAATTAGGCCTATATGACATAGTCTTAAATGTAACGGATGCATGAGATTTAAATATAAATCCGTGTTTATTAATTTGCTATTGACGTAACACCACAAATTAATCGTGACGCTAATTTTGACAGCGTCTTAGTATGCATATTAAAGTGTAATTTTTGAGAAGCATGCAAATATTTTAAATCTTTTACTCATTTAAAATTTAACTGTTTTTTAATCGAATATTAGAACAGCGCGCGCTATTCAATAACCTAAAATAAGTTAGTAATTAGCTAAATAGCATCTCACTATAAGATATGACTAACCTCTATTTAATACGTACTAGTTAGAAGCACTTTTTGGTACTAAGAAACTATAAAACTTACATATATTTTGATATTAAAATGATCAGGTGTTCTTCTACTTGCAGTATCAGTGACAGGAAATATTGAATTCACCATATAAGCGTTGAAATTTAAATGTGCTACAACTTTGAATAATTTCCATGATAAAATATTTTTTAAGAAATCTGTAATAATAGTTCAATTGTTTTAGGTGATGGTAAAAAAAATTAAAATTAAGTACCTTTTTAAACGTTTTAAATTTTATTGATAATTATTCAAATATTAATTTAATTTTCAAAATATAAAAATAATTTATCACGTACTCGATGGTCCTAATATTAATGTGTAAATTAAAGTAACTATTCCCGTTGCCCAAAGACTTCGTATTGTAGATCCATAAAGTGCAGCTAGAAATGGTTCATAAACGTAAGAAGGGTGATAAATTATAGCACCACTAAACCAACAAAACATCATTATGAATACAGAAATGGCTAGTAAAACATTACTTTTCATCTGAAATTTAATTGAATCAGTATGAAATTATAATACAGTGTTTTTTTAGAACTTAAAAAGTATATATTTCTTACTATACTAAGCTTAGGAGAATTTTTTTTTCTTTTATATAGCAAATAACCAAATATAGCTCCTACGATGTATGGACCCACTCTTGTATGCGATTTTACATAAACTGACATGAAGTATATATTGCTAGTAACATTTTTCACAAAACTAAATGTAAACAAAAATAATTTGTATTTGATGTTCATAGATATAAAATGATTATGTATAATAGACGATATCAGTACTGACAATTATTGTCAATTATTGGTGCAGTACTGGCATATTTAACAAACAATAAAGCTTTTTCGTACTAGTTATGATTACGATATGAGTTGTAATTTTTTTTTTGATGGAACCTAAATTTTAAATTGTTTCTCTTTCATTGCATTATATACAGAGTGAAACAGAGTGAAACAGATCTAACTGACAGCTCATATAACTTATGATCTACATAACATTTTATATATTTTTTTTTAATCAATTTTTAAAATATAGAACTATATTTAAAATATGATAATATTATAATTTTAATCGTAAACGTATTTGTTAAAAGGACCTATTTTCACTGCTTATACTTTTTAAGATAAGTAAATTCAATTTATGCTACAAAAAAAAATAATCAATTTATTGAAGAATTACATATTTTGTTTGTAAAAAAAAAATACATAAAATTTTGTAAATTCTAAGTAATTTATTGTTAGTAATCGTAGCTCTTGAGTTCATACATTTTTATGTAAATTTTGCTTCTTAGGAAAACATTTAAGTGAGCTACAGATCCATTTCAGAACAATATTAATAAAAATACGAAGTTTGTTAATGCATATTTTGGGTGTTGGGGCATATTTGGCATATAATTGGTTTTTTGGAGGCAGAATGCATATTATTTCCTGTGAATTCAGGGAAATTTTATTTCAATGAAAGTAAAAAAAAAATAAATAAATTCTTAAATCATTTTTTTCGAATATGTTTACATGTTACTATGCTCTTAGTATTTTTGGAGATATTTTTATCTGTTTATGATATTGATTGGGTTTTATAAGTTTTAAGCAGTTCACTGGAATTAATATTATCGCACAATCACTACCACCATCCGCTGAATCAAATATGTGTATGGCTATCAATAAATTTATTTTCGTCACAACAATACATAAAGGTACATATTAAAAGGAAATTCTTATGATAAGTCCGTAAACTATAATCGTATTTCTAGCGTTGTTACATTGTTTTTTGTAGATTATTTTGTGGTAAATCGTGTCTATTTATTTTTTGTTTTCAGTTAGTATTTTGAGATTCAATTATAAATACTAGTATTTAGACTGTTCACATTAATCAATGCTAAAAGAAAACCTAACAAGTCGAGCTCGTTTGCAAAAGTTTGCTTCGGAATTAGGCAAAGAAATATATTCAACCGACAATAAAGTGCTAATTTGTAAAACTAGTGAAATAAAAGTATTAAAACTTAATTATTTACATTTTAAAAATCTTATTTTTATGACTGAAAATCAGAAAAAGATTTCATTTTTGAAGATTACTAAAATTTTTCAAATTGTGTTAATTTATACTTTTGATTTTTACTTGTTTAAAATTTTTTACTAAAAAGTTATAGTTTATAATTAAAAATTATGCATTTAAATATTTCGTGCTCTTTCAAAATGTGCTTATTTAAGATTTTTAGTATAGTCATCGGGTGGGGTATAGGGGGTTAAGTCCCTTCTTAAATTTACAAATTAGCAAAATTATTTGCATTATTATATCAAAATTAATTGCCACCTTTTTAAGATATAAGAGATGAACAAAAACAATACTTCTTGTTGATAAGTTGAGAAAAAGATGTAACTAATGAAATCAAAAATTAAATTCTGAATTATTTTTATTTTTCAATAGATAAGTGATTTTTAATTACAGAACTGCACCATAAATAAATTAATGTCGAATTTTAATGCATTAAAAGTTAAAATTTATTGCAAAAGTTAAGTTAACTTAATTAAATAACTCAATATTTATTAATGTATTGTAAATAGTCGTTTCTTGATGCGTAGATATAATGACACTATTTTATTGCAGTAGGCTAATTACGTTTTCCCACCATCTTTAAAACAAGCATAACTTTTAAAATGGACATCAAAAAAAAATTAACAATAATAATAATAAAATTACTTTGCAATAAAAAAATAATTATTGAAACCAAAAGTTTATAAAGTTAATCTTAAAAAAAATGTTTCGTCGACACTTACTCTACATTGAACTCAAGATTTGCAGGTATGTGGTTCATATAAGTAATGTTGAAAAGTATAGCTGTTGATATAACAATAAGTGAAACCAAAATATTGAATCCAAATTTCGGACTTCTATGAATGATATACGTCAATATAATTCCCATTATTGTAAAATGAAATTCACAAGGCATGAACCAAGTATGAATTTCACACTTAAAAACGAATTAAAAAGTTACTAACGAATTTTAATATAAAAATAAATTATTTTTAGTTAATTATATGTTTTACTAATGTATCTGGTTTAATGTAGTTGTTTAAATATAACAAATACAGCCACCAAACATTCCTACAATTATCTTTATCTGTACCAATAAAATTTTCCCATAAAGGTCCACTGCCCATTTTGTATTGAAAAGTTGCAAAAAAAAATATCACCATAGCGTACACAGGCGTAAATCTGAAACAATTTAAAATTTTCAGTTATAATACAATCTAAATAGTTATATGATTACCTGAAATATTTAAACATTAATATTTTTAAAGGATGTACAAATGAAGTCTCTAGGCGATCAAGAAGAATCAAAACCATCAATGCTCCACTAATGACAAAAAAATTATCTACCAATAAATCCATGTGTGATGTAAAAATTGATATATAATAATTATAATACACCTTTACCAAAAAAAATTAATTAAAGGTTAATAAATTTAATTAAAATCACGTGTAATTCTAATCGTCTTAAGACTAATTAAACAAACCTGCTCGATGACTTCGTAATTTTGTAAAGGTCCCATTAAACGGTAAATCCATCTATGGCCAAAAATAATTAATACTGCAGATATGGTCGAAATACCACTTAAAGGTGACAAATCTATGCCTCTTACTAAGTTATTTCTTTGCGTTAAGCTTTGCATAGCACGTCGCGCGGAAAAACACATTAACATGTCAACTTTACGGTTTTCTAAAATATTACGTAAGATAATAAAATATTAAATTATTTATATTACATAAACTTTACTGTGACTTCTATCTAAATTCGTATTTAAAAAATGTGTCTATGGGAGTTTTGGAGATCAACATTGAAAAATCAAATGAAAACAAATGTTTTTTTTTTTAAATGCAACATGAATAGTTATATTTTATAAAATTTATAAAAAAAATAATAATATGATTATTATAATAGTATCAATAATATTTTATACTATCGTTAAAAAAAATATCTTTAATGAGCTACAGCTATTTAAATGAAAGAAAATCAAATATCAAATAAATTTCGTAGTGTTATTTCANAGCTATTTAAATGAAAGAAAATCAAATATCAAATAAATTTCGTAGTGTTATTTCAGAATATAAGATAAATTTTGTTATGCGAGTGTGTAACATTTATAAACTTTTATTGTTCGGTTTCTCCTAATATTGTAATAATCTGTAATATGTGATAAAAATTAAAGTACAACAATTATAGTATAGTAACATAAATACTCTCCATACTTGATTATGTCCGTTTGACAGTTATAGGATATAATAAATAACCGACA